GATGTATCTCTCTATATAGCATTTTATGTCCTTCCCTACTCCAGAAATACATAGGAATTCAGATTCTGCAGAAATGTGGTAACCATCCTGTTGTAGGTCCAGAGATGTAAGAGAACTTAAAGGCCACCTAGTCCTTTAGGGTGGCCCAGGAAGGTTAAGCTACTGGTCACATAGGTGGTATTAGGGCTCTGATTTGAGATCTTAAGCATTTAGTAGTGAGCAGTAGAAGGTGGAATGGTAATTGCTGTCTCTTCCATCACACTTTTATCTTTGTAATGGAATTCCTTAAAGGGAAATCTACACTGGCTCATAAATGTTAACAGTTGGAACTTTTTTCAAGGATATTGGACAAAAGGGCAAATACATGAGTATAAACACGATTATAATAGTATGGAGTGTTCCAGACATACACCCTGTGGTCCCTCTGAGTATTACAGGTAGATCTTATAATGTAGAATAGTCACAATAGGCCTTCTTCCTACTATATTCTGATAATGGTGCTAGATAGGTAGGTTTTCCCATGGAATTCAATTCCCTGCTCAGAAGTATGGTTTTGTCTATTCCTCAAGTCACTGCCCCATTGTTACGGTACTTTTTATGGCACTTTGTAACCCTGAGTTACAAACCCTAGATGACAAATAAAAAATCCATGTAAGTCAATCCCAGGAAATCAATGAACAGTTTATTATATTTTCAACTTAATCACAGAGGAAAAATCCCATTAGATGAAAATCAACAAAGTGGTGCTTAATTGGGGAATAATTCTCTGCCATTTTGCCTAAGGAAGACCATTTCAGCCAGAGGAAAAGAAAGATAGAAACTAAATTCAGAGCTGTGCTTATCTGTCAGTTGCCTCTTGAGATATAAAACAGCATTTTGTCTGCAAGGCTTACTTATTCCTTCTTTTCATTCAAGGTTCTGAACCAAACAGAGGATCACCGACAGAGAGTCCTCCAGGCAGCTGCTAAAAACATCCGTGTCTGGTTCATCAAAGTTCGGAAGATGAAGGCCATCTACCATACTCTGAACCTGTGCAACATTGATGTGACCCAGAAGTGTCTGATTGCTGAGGTCTGGTGCCCTGTTGCTGACCTAGATTCCATCCAGTTTGCTCTAAGGAGAGGCACGGTGAGTATTGTGGGGCTGAAACGCTCCCACAAACTCCACAAAAGCAATGGTTCTGATTCTTTGCATTTACATGATAGTCTTCCCAAGTGTTTTAATATTTTTTATTTTATCTTTACTCCCTAAATGCCCTTTAAAGATAAAGCTAGAATCATAAAATCTTAGAGTTGGAAGAGACTTCAGAGGAGGCCCTCTCCTGAGAGAGGAAATTCTGGTCATCTCTCCTGAGACATGAATCCTTTTTACACACATCCCTGACAAGTGGCTATCCACCCTCTGCTTGAAGATGTCTGGTTATAAGAAACTCCCTACCTCCAGAGAGGGAAAGTCTGGAGTGTGCCCACTCTCATCTCAGCCTCTTGGAATTCCTGGCATTCTTCAAAGCACGGGGCTCATATGATAGCTGCCCTAAGAAATCTGTCCTGATTTCTCTCTTCTCCCACCCCTCTGCCCCAAGTTGTTAGTTTTCTCTTCCTTGATTATCATATGTATATTTGTCTAATTACATGTTGTAGCCCACCAGTAGAATATAAATTCCTTGAGAGAGGTGATTATTTTTCACTTTTGTCTTTGTATTTTCAGTGCATAGCACAGTGCCATACATATAGTTATTTACTAAATGCTTATTGGGTTGAATTGTTACCTCTGGCAAGGACGCATTCTATTTTGGAACATCTCAGATTGTTAGGAAATTTTTTTTTCCTTATATTGAATGTCTTTCACTCTGTAACTTCCATCTCTTGCTTCTATCTAGTTCTGCCCTCTAGTTCTGCTTCTCTTTCATATGATAACTCATCACATATTTGAAGACAGATGCTTTTTCTCACCCCCTCAATACTTTTCCCATTTTAAACATCCCCAATTCATTTTACTAATCTTATAGTTCTCTTAGCATCACAGGGCCCTCTTCTGGACCCTGTTTCAGTTTCCTATTTTTCCTAAAATATACTGTCAAGAACTCCAGATATGGGCCAGTCAAGGCAAAGTACAGCGAAACTGTCCTTCTCTTCATTATACTTCTGTTAATGGAATTCAGCCTATGATCAACTCCATTAAAATCTTATCTTCATGCTTCATTCTGAGGTGGAGAGGACCCATGGTTCTCAAAGATTACATTAGTGAAGTGTGTTATCTCTTGTATATCATACAAAACTGTGAAGTATTTAAATACCAACTGGCAATGCATTTTATGTGTGTGTTTGTATGTATGTATGTATGTATATGTCTTTTGTCTGAAGACAAGCTGAGGTAAACTCATCAGAGTGTCTGTGGGGTGACAAATTGGGGACGAGGGGAGGAAGGTAGTGATAATTAAACTAAAAAGACCTTCAGTGAATCATTAAAAAAGAAAGAGAACAAAACGGAAGCAAGTTCAGAAGGGGACACAGATTAGCAAGGCAGATTTGGGATTACCATGTTAAATTTGAAATAGATTAAAAAACAAGCTGTACATAGTGGATATTCAGTTTTGTATACAGTCATCTTTTTTCTGCTTTATAGGAAAATGTTCATTTGTGTTGATTTTAGTCAAGGTCATGATAATCAAAAGAAAAAAAATTTAAAGCAAAAGAAAAAAAAAGGTGAAGTTTGAGGCTAGTCTAGCCTGGCTTGTTCTTAATTTTGGTTCCTTATTCTCTTTATAAATGCTTACAAAGCAGTTTCATTTTTAAAAGTAAATTTGTGTTGTTATATTTTGGTTTTATATCACTTAACATTTCCCAGTGTGTACCTTTCCCCTCCCAGAGGGCTATTTCTTTTAATAAAGATATAAAAAGAGGGGAAAAATTAACAAAACTAATTAACATATAAAAAAATCTGGCATCATATGCAGTGTTCAACATCCACAGTCCATCACTTCTATGAAGAAGTAGTTTTGTTGCTGTTTTTTCCATTAACATTGTTGTAATATTCTGTATATGGTTTTCCTGATTCTTATTTTACTTTGCCTCAGTCCATCTAAGTTTTAAATCTTTGCTTCTTTTTATTCATCATAGTCATCCTTTCTTATAGCACAGTAAATTCCATTGTGTTCATGTACCACGATTTGTTCAGTCATCCCACCATGAATGCACATCTACTTTCAAACCACCCTTTTAATATTTTATTCTAGTGTGTGTTTTCAGGAATCAAAGTCACCAACCTATGAAGAGTCCATCTTCTAGGTGGACTTTTAAAAAACATTTGGACATTTGCTCATCTCTAGTTCTGTGGCATCTTTCTAAATTCTCCAGAATTTTTCAGGGATCACTGATGAAAGATCAGTCACATCTTAGTTTATTTTTTCTAGGAGAAGGGTTAGCAAACTACATTTGCCTTAGAGCTAAGAATGGTTTTTACATTTTTAAATAAAGTTTTGTTATACTTAAGAAAGTAAAAACCAGAAAATGCTATCCACATCCAAAGAAAGAACTATGGAATTTGAATACAGATCAAAATATACTGTTTGCTGTTTTTTTTTCTCTTCTGTTGAATTTTGTTTCCTCTTTCTGGTGGTTCCTCCCATTGGTTCTAATTCTTACAACATCACTAATGTGAAAATATGTTTAATAGGAATGTAAAAAAAAAAAGAAAGAAAGTAAAAACCATTAAATTGAGGGGATGCCCATCAATTGGGGAATGGCTGAACAAGTTGTGGTATATGAATGTAATGGAATACTATTGTTCCGTAAGAAATAGTGAGCAGGCAGGCTTCAGAATAACCTGGAAAGACTTGCATGAACTAATGCTGAGTGAAATGAGCAGAACCAGGAGAATACTTTACACAGTAACAGCAACATTGTGTGATGACTGACTTTGTTAGACTTAGCTCTTCTTAGCAATGCAATGATCTAAAACAGTTCCAAAATACTCATAATGGAAAATGCTATCCATATCCAGAGAAAGAACTACGAACTCTGAAAGCAGATCGAAGCATACTATTTTCTCTTTCTTTTGTTGTTATTTCTTTCTCATGGTTTTTCCCTTTTGTTCTGATTCTTTTTACACAATGTGACTAATGTGGAAATATGTTTAATATTGATCATACATGTATAACCTATATCAGATTGCATGCTATCATGGGAGAGGGGGGAGTGGAAGAGGGGAAATTTTAGAACTCAAAATCTTACAGAGATGAATGTTGAAAACTAAAAATAAATAGGAAAAAAAAAGAAAGTAAAACCCATTTTTAGCTCTGCAGATGTACAAAAATAGGCAGTGGGTTGGATTTGGCCCTGGACCATAGTTTGCTGACCCCTGCTCTAGGATATTATTTACCCAGACCAGGCAGCTTGGACATACTGAGGACAGCTAGGCAGCTAGGTGCTTATAACATCTCATCATTTTTCTTAGGTTTCAATTTCCTGATAACAGTTTTTGTTCTCTCCTTTGTGAATTACTTCATTGGTAGAGAAGACAAAATGAATGGAGGCGTTAGGTAATATTGTGCCTCTGTCATCATCCTGTTCTTCCTTCCAGAAGCAATGATCCTATTCCACCGTTGCTCTTCCTCATGCCCTGAATGTAATTTAAAAAGCCTTTTATGTTATATTCAGCGTTTAACGTGATCCTTAGTTCATATTGATCTTTAAGCTTCCTGACACTATTCTAACATAACTTTGTTCTTCTTTTATGTATCCTTAGTTTTCTGTCATTGCTTTCATCTCTTGTAAATGCCCTTTTAAAATCTGAACTTGTTGGTGAGCTCCCTGTTCAGCCACATGCTGCTTTTTCTTGTCATTGGAATCATCTTCAGAATTTCAATCTCAACAGCATCCACATCCCTCTTGGACTTACTTCCCTTTTAGATTCTTTTGTCATTAGCTCCTAGCTTTTTTAATCAGAATTCTTTAAAATAATTCCAAACCTCCTCCCTGGCCACGCCCAATCCAAGATATACCTCAAACTAGCCCTTCCTTATCTGCTACAGATTAAAAATAATTTAATTATTATATCCATAGCACTCAGCTTGATTCTGTGAGGGATACAGAGAGCAAAAAAAATAGTACCTGTCCCCAAGGAGCTTACAATTTAGGCATATGTAAATAACAACATAGTGTGGTAAGTGATAAATGTTATGAGTGTTCCAAGCTAACTGTTCTAAGCAAAGCTGGAAAGGAGGTAGCTTTTGTTCAGTGGGTGTTCAGGGAATATCAGGTAATATAGAAGAATTGAGATCTAGGTATTGTGTAGAGGAATAGTGGAGGGTAAGGGTGGAAAAGTGGGTTCAGTCTAGATTATGGAGGGAGTTGAATGCTAAGCTAGAATTTTAGACTGTTTAGGAGGAGTAGAGAGCTATTACAAGTTATTAGTGTAATTGTTACAAGAGTAATTTTTCTTTCTTTCAGTTTTTAATCAAGAGAGATAAGGGGAGAAGGAAATTTGCAATAGTGATGCAAAAAAAAAAGGGGGGGCCACTGAGACATTTTTTAAATTGCACAGCTGAAAACAGAAGCAAGTCCAGAAGGAAGCACAGACAAGAAAGGCGGTTTTGAAAGTAATGTGTGGAATTTATTATATGCTTTTTAAAAAAGTAAATGGTATGAAATGGAGATACATAGTTTCATACAGAATCCTCTTTTTACGTTTGACTATGTAGATGGAAATAGCCTCTTTTTTTGGTGTTTAAGTTTAGAATAAAAAAATTAATTTATTGATCAGAAGGGGGTGCTTAAGAAAGATAATGTGATGAGATTGTATATAGGGTAGGGCACAGTGGAGGAGGAAAGATCTAAAGGCAAGGAGAGAACAAAAAGTGATTTTAGTAGTCCAGGCATGAGGTGATAAAGTCCTGAAAGAGTATAGTGAAGACAGGAAGAGAAAAGAAAAAATAACAGATTGAGAAGGAAAAATCAATTACTTGGGGACTGAATATGGTTGATGAAGAAATCAAAGGCAATTATGAAAATTTGAGTCTGTGTGATTGGGAGAATGGAGGGTACAATTACTAGAAGTAGGGTTGTTAGGAGATGTGTTTGTAGGTATGTTTAAAGTGCTGGTGGTGCAGTCAGAACTGTCTTACTAAT